CTCAATGTGATGATTTAACAAAAACAAGTTTAACTGAAGCAGTTAACTGTTCTTATGCTTAAATGTTTGACAGGTAATCATAACTGATCAATAATCAATCAGTACTTCTTGGAGTCTGAAAGAGCTATTTTTAACAAATTATCAGAAGTTATTTGATAGGGTTTTTTAGAAATTCTTTGGCTACATACATTAAGGAAGTTAAATACAGAAGAAAACTACTAGCTACAACTATCATAAAAATAGTACACATTTACAGATTATACAGGGATCAGAGTGCAAATGTGATGAGAGTAATTTTCAAGGACTAAGTTACTTACAATGTCCATTTTTCCATCCAAAAAAATTAGATTCCTACATTTATAAATCTCTTTGCAGAGCTTCTTGACCACCTAAAAATGCCTCAAACTAAACTGTTGTTTCACGTAACAATGCTATCGCTTTTAATTGTGACATACAACCTGCAGTGTCTGTCTCCTCTTTTTTTTTTCTTTTGAAGAATGCAGAAGTTCAGAAACTGCTCATATAAAGAACAGAAATATTGGTTGTATTCCCATATGGAATTATAACAACTTTAGATTCTTTCATGTCTTTTGAAGGTCTTTTGTAAGCAAAATATGAAAGCAGATATCCATGTCGATCTTCAGAAAAAGCTTGGGGTTATAATGTTTTTGAGAAAATGCTTAATTTTCTTCTTGCAGCATTTCTTCTATTTCTTTATCCCAGTTGTCATCACGCTTTTCTGATTCCGTCACCACCTCATACTCTTGAAGCTCTTGCTGTAATTCCTTTTCCCAATCAGCAGTTTCTTCTACTAGAGATAAATGATGTGTAAGAATTAACTTGATAATAGAGAATGTTGCTTATTTATATAAAACTAGGTGAATTTGCACTGAATCGCTCTTATATCCCCAAATTTCAGGAACAATTCTTTAAAACTAAAGTAACTTTATCTTCTTATTGAATATTTAATATACTAGTCTATACTCCTACGTGCATACTATAATAAAGATATAAAAAGCAAATACGCAGCTTCGTTGTCTCAAGTGTCCCTTTGCAAGCTCATTTCCTACAGTCTTTCAGACTACTATCAACTGAATCTCCCTTTGTACTTTTAAATTTCCAGGGGGAAAAAAAAAAAGAAGTTTGTAAGTCTGTTGGATATACTGTTATAAAAAAAAAGAAATTTAACATCAAAATACTGCAGATAATCTTTTTTAAAAAGAAGCAGGTGTTCTCCTCACTGACATTTGTAGCTTGGCAAGCTCATTTAATTAGGGTTAAAGGTAATCATATTTCATACTTCAGGGCAAAAAAATGAGTCAGAAAGCATTCCTGTGTTGTTAATCTCTGTTTTAATTAGCTCTGCCTATCATATGCAAGAGTATGGGGGAGGAGACTGGCGTTTGATGTGTTACATGTTGGTTAGTACTTCAGCCTAGATAGAAAGTACGTAATTCCAGAGTCCAAGTCACTAAAGCCAGCTCTATTTCTCTGAACAAATTACACATTAATGACTTGCTGAAATAGTTCTGTCAAAAAGCTAGATGCAAGGAACTGATATTACTTAATTTCTCAAGCTTGCCTATGTATCTGAAAAAATAATTTCAGAAAACAAGGATTCAGCAACATCCAAAACACACCGTAAGATAAATTCTGAAAATTGTATTTATGATAAGCATCTACACAGGCAAGTGTCTTCATAGTAAATGATTGTGTATGGCCAGTCACATCATCACAGCTTGTTTTCAGAACTAATACCAAGGTAAAAAGCATAAATCATTTTAAGTATAAGCTTCACTTTATTTCTTCTCATCATTCTCCAGGGTATTTGTTAAAATTTAACTGTTTCTTATGCACTGTAAACCTTTTACAGCAGAGGGATGCGCAAGCTCTCACGTGGTGCAAATAGTGTCTTTTTAGGTGTCACAAGAAGAAAACATAGCCTGACTTCCAAATACTGTACTTTACCTACAAAGATGTCAATTAAAGAAAGAAAAATTAATGCACAGAAAGACTATGAAGGAGTAGGCAGGGAAAGGAGGAAGTAGACAGCAAAAAATACTCCACTGTCACTTTCATAAAAGAGCCACCTAAAAATTGTTAGGTTCTTTGGATTTAAAATCATCAGCGCTAACACTCCAGGATGTGATTCGACTGTGGTGAGAATTATAATTAACTTCTGCAATAATTCATCGTGGGTCATTTCGAACACTTGGAAAAATGGTCCCAAGTCTACTTTCCTCAACTGAATTACAATTAAAAAAACCAAATCAGCCTATTTTAGAATTGTTGTATTTAAGACACAGAAGGTAATAACAGCTTTACCTTCTACTGCTGAAGTCTCTTCTTTCTTTTTGTCTAGCACCAGTTGTTCCATTTCTTTTCTTAGGTCTTCCTGATTCAGATTACAGGCATCAAAGGCATCACTCACAAATTCTGAGACACCTGGACTTGTGGAAATCTCTTCCTCATCCTGCAGTAAGACAGTTTTGTATAAGTTTACCCAAAAAGGGGGAAAAAAATGTTGCCAATACATACTTCCACTCATCTGCCTGCCTGCCTTTTAAATAGTCAGAAAAAAAACCCAAACCAAATGTATTATTTTGACAACTATTTTTCTTTATGGACTGTTTTTCTCTAAGAGTATTTTTGTACAGTCAAAAATATCAGATAGTTGTGTTGCAAATGATCTGCTTTTCATCCTAGTCTCCTTTTTATGTTCTGCTAACAACTTTAATTCTGTTCTTGCAATCTTTAGAAACAATAATAAACTCTTAAGTAGTTTAGAACAGTACCTAAATACTAAATTTTGACCTCAGTTCAGTAACAGTTTTCTACATATAAATCAGACTGAGAGAACTGTTTTCGGGACATCCTTCTACCTTAATTTTGTCCACTGCATATTACTGGCAAATGAATGCACAGCTCTGCTTCTGCCAAGAGTGTTCTCTGGCACTGATTTTACAGTCCAGAAATGAACAAGGGTCATGACATGTCTAAGCTAAAGGGTTTTGCAGTATCAAGCAAAACTCTTCTTGCCGTCGCAACAAAATGCTGCTGCTATTGCAACACATCATTTACATTTCCTATACTTAAACCTGACAACTGCCGTGGAGTTGGGCAGAACATGGCACACATTTTTACGGAGGTATTCCTCATGTCTAAATAAAATGCAAACCTTCTACTCCAAACATTTTTGAAATGTCACTCTTCAGAATAAAAATGTGTTTTATTACAATGTGCAGGACACTAAAAAAAGTATCCTTCAGATAAACTACCATTTCTTTTACTGAAAATTAATTTGAAGTATGTGCACTAAAAATTAATATCACACCAGAGCAGCAGCAGGTTGGGACTGTCAGATATTATATTATTACGATTTCATAGCACAACTTACTCAAAAGGATGCATAATCATGTATTAAGTTTCATATACTAAATACTAGAAAAAATATAACAGCATTTTTACCTCTTGAGATTTTATTTGAGGCTTTATTGTAACAGGCGGTGTTTTTGGCCGTACTGTTTCTATCAAGAGGGGGAAAAAAAGGTAGATTACAATTAAATGTATAAAGATCTCATTTAATCTGCAGAGCTATTAAATGTACAAGGAAATACTGTATTTAAGGTATCCTGGTGGTTAAAGGATGATTTTGTAACAACAAAAGAAAAACATTTTTAATTAAGGCAAATTTAGCAAATAATTTCCTCATTGTGACTCCAGAATATAAATCACAGGAACTTCTCTGCCACTCAAAATTATCCAAAGAACAACATAAATAGGAACAGTTGGGAATCTGAAAGAATGTCTTCTATAAAACACAGATTGCACCACATGTCACGAGGTCCTTGAAGTTACAAAGGTGTAGACTTGATCCTGGAATCCAGCTACTGCCAATCACAGGAGTTGGGAACTCCCCTGGCTTGGCACTGCTCTGACAGGGGCACTAGTTAGCACTCAGGGATACTAGACTACATCTGCACGCATGGCCCCAAGTGCTCATGAGAAGAGTACTCTGCAGCCATACCTCCTTTCACACGGGCAGAGGAAACCACTGAAACACATAAACCCTAGAAGCTGTTCCCAGTTTCCCAAGAAAACTCACTGTGTGTTCTGCACTTAGGAAGATGGCTGTTTACAGATCTTTTTCCAATCAGGTAGAGGAACACCTCAGTTTTCTCCCTCGTGCAACTAGCAGGAAAGAGGAGTCACAACAAAAAGCTATGTGGCTGCAAGAACAGTTAACATACAGGGCAGGCTGTGGTAGCCAGGGAGTGCTTGCTTGGCAGTTCTGTTTGTTTAAACATGCAAAGCAGCTCTGAGCTTGCAGCTCTGCTGACTGCAGTGTGCTCAAGTAGACCCTTCCTGCTTACTCAGCGATTTCTGAAGAGGGAATTTCTTAATTTAAAAAATTAAACCTGCAGATCAGTTCTAATTAAAATAATTCCCTAATTGGTAGCTGTCACTGCTTATAAACCTCATCTACTGCATTGTCACTGCTCTGCCCCGTCCTCTCTCCCCCTCGTCCTTCCCGAGGGGAAGAAACAAAAAGGTTAAGTCAAAAATAACAGAGATGGTACAGAGCTTCCTAAATCTCTGCAATTTTCATCTCAAATGAAACATGGATTTACTAGTCTGGTAAAAGCATTCCTTGACACTGTGCAACACACAGTTAGCAGGACAGTGATCTATCTGCATATGCTGTACTGGTCTTCTGAATTGTAGGAGATCTGCAACAGGCCAAAAACAGAGGTTTTTTTTGTGTGTGTGTTTTTTGGGTTGGTTTGTTGGTTGTTTTGTTTTGAGTAAACACATAAATTGTGTTGGCCTGTATCTACACTATCTTTGACAGTCTTCCCAGGGAGGGAACTGTGGTCCCGACAGCCTGCCAATGTGTGCTGGCAATCGCTACTCTACTCAAAGGCCAGCGTACTCTGGAGGGCACACGGCCTGTGTTCACTTTGCACAGATTTGACCTAGATGTGCTCTGTGCTCCATGTAACATGTTTGAGTGAGGCCATATTTTTGTGTTTTTTTAAGCTTACTGTCATGGTTACAGGGGCTGGGACCAGTTTATCCTTATGTGGGTAGAACCAAAACTCTGTATTCTATACTCTCTATGTCAGTGCTCATGGGCTGTTAAGGAAATCATGGGTAGCAGCTGCCCAGGACAGACCTAACAGCCCAGGCTATAACAGATAAGGAAAGAGGTTCAAGGTCAGGGGAGATGTTAACACCTTCCCACCCAGCAGGAGGAGTCCTCCCTGTTAATGGGCCCATCCATGCCTCGCCCCATGACTCATACAGAGCTCCCCCCAGGAGCTATTTCTGTTTAATGGACCATCAAGGACCCACTGCATGACTCATAGACTGATATCAACCCATTGTGAGATGCTCCACCCAGGGGGAGGAGCCAAGTGCTCCCACCTGGATATAAACTGGGGTTCAGTACAGCACGGGGGGCCTTACCCACTGGATCTCCAGAGGACAAGAGCTACCAGATCTTTTCTACGAGACCACTGTTTCATCTGGACTGCTACCGCCACCCTAACTACAGAGTATCAGGTTGTATTCTGACTCTGTCTGTGGTTTTCCTTTGTATTATTGCTTTTATTTTTTTTTCTCATTAAATTGTATTTCTGACTTGGAGTCTCTCACTGGTTTGTTTTCAAACCATTACACTTACAAAGCCTGAAATAAAAAAAAGTAGCGTTTTTATGATTGACAACATGCTGTTCAACATGGGGACACACTGCAATGCTTGACTGTACATAGCCCACTGGGACAGCAGACATCTGTCCTGGATAAAAGAAGTCAGAACTGGTGCCTCGTGAGTCTGAAGTAGATTCTGGAGTGAAAAAAAAAAAAAAAAAAAAAAAAAAAGAAAGAAAAAACCACCCCAAACTTCAGGAAACTCCTACAGTGCTTTTTGAAAAAGGTATGTTCTATGCAACATGCAAGCCTGGCTCTGTAATTCCCCTTGGAACCTCTCCATCACCCCAAGGTTCAGCTGCCTGTGTCGAAGGAGCCAAGGCCCAGCTGAGTAGCCTCAGCTCAGACTTAGGCAAGAAATTACCAAGTTGTGCAAAGCAGCTGTGAGAAAGTCTGTAAAAACATAAGAAAGGTGGAATTAAACTGGTGGAGGATTAGAAAGATGGAATCATTAGCAGTGATCATTAAAGGTACCTCCTACTTCTTTCTGCCAAGTCAAAAAAGCACACCAGAGACCACTAGTGGTCTTGAGCTGTTATAAGTCAAGTGAAAATTCAATCTTTTGAGATTTCCACTCTTCTGACAAAGTTGGCTGAAACTAGAAAACAGCTTAAAAGGACTAGGAGCCTCCTCTTCCCTCATCTGGGCAAACACATCAAGTATGGTGAGAGAAGCCCTGATTTTATGGGAAATCCAGGATAAAAATTCAATGTCACCTGATGTATAGTCAGTGTGCATGACACCAGCTTAACAAGCTGTGCTAAAACAAATCCTTTCCATACCTTTCAGTTGATTCTCCTCTTCCCTGCCTTTGTTCTCCTCTTTTCCTGCTGCTTGCTGTTGAGCTGCAAGCGCGGTGAGTTGTGCTGACTGTTTAATTAAGGACACCCTGTAGAAATAATTTCTCCAGAATACCTCCTCCTTGACACTAGAGAGAATAAAACACGTTTTGATTATTATATTTGAAATATGGTTCCTTTTACCATCCAGCAATACAATAAAATTAAATCTGCAAACAGGAGTAGATATAGCTGCCATTTAAGTAAAAACTCAAAAAAGAAATTTGTGATATTAACAGTTTAAAAAATCCATCATTGTGGAATTTCTTGATCTCTTACAAGACAGTTAAAATAGACTTGTAATAATAATAATAATGTTATGTCTTTAGAAAAAGCTTAACAGCATGCAGCAATACATGATTTGGAGAAATATTGTGCTGTTCCATCTCTCTTGTCAAATTATGTAAACAAATCCAATAAGCCAAATAACCCTGTTCTCTTCACTTCCTCTCTAAACCACACATTCTATCATTGTCAAATTATATTCACCTATATCTTCCCAAGGCCTCATGTAGAACTGGAACATCTTTGATCTATAGGCAGAAGCCATTCCTAGATTGAAGCAGAACTATTTAATTATCTGCACATCTTTCAGCATGTCCACAGGACCACCAGTAACTAACAGCCGTCATCTCAGAAATGAGCAGCTCTGATAAGTAGAAGACTACCCCATTTCTTAGGTAATATTTCCCTCTGGTAATCCTCCCGCAAGCAAGACCCAACTTCAACCCAGAGGGAACAGAAGCAAGAAGGTTTGTAGGTTAGGAAAGACAGAAAGGCAGACAGACAAGAAGGCAGACAGACAGGAAGGCAGACAGGCAGGAAGGAAGGAAGGCAGACAGGAAGGCAGGCAGGCAGGCAGACAGGAAGAAAGGAAGGATGGCAGACAGGAAGGAAGGCAGGCAGGCAGACAGGAAGGAAGGAAGGCAGGCAGGAAGGCAGAAAGGAAGAAAGGCAGAAAGGCAGAAAGGAAGAAAGGAAGAAGGACAGACAGAAAGAAGAGTGACCTTCCTGCCTATTCAGGCAAACAGTAACTATTGAGACTAAGAACAGGGGAAAAAATACCCAAAACAACTATTAAGTAGTGTGGTAGTATAGGCAAGAACAGCATGAACAGAAGCTGAAGACAGACCATCACAGACAGATCTGATGATGACCTAGAATATGGGCAGAGCTTTAGGACAGACAGCAGCAAAGAACAGCAGGGAAGTGGGTAAATAAAATGAGGAGCCGAGTAGGTTTATAAAAGAAGGAGATTTAAGACAGAAAAGCTCACAGAAAGGTATTTTCTTTCCTGTTTCCATCCTTAGACAAAGAGACTAATGTTGGGAACTCCAGCTTAACAAGAATGTTGACCTGTGAAAGAAGCTTTAGGAGCAGAGCCTGGGAATGCACAAGGAAGAACAGCACTGGAATATAGCTGGGATCAAGAAGCCATACTGGATCAAGCCATAACTGCTGTGACAAAGACCTTATGGATCTTTTAGTTATGGCCATTAGAAGAAGGCAGTCACAACACAGAGCTTTTCCCATTGCCTATTCAAACCCAGGTTTTCTTGCATGCATTGCTCCCAGTTTGTGATGCATTCATTATTTTACCACTTTTCCAGGGGGCTTCTGACTATCTCTGATAACCTTTCTGGGGTGTCAGTTACACCACCAGATTGGAACATTTTTATTGCTGCATTTACTCTTGTTTGGGAAGATCTTCAATTAATTGAGCGCACTGGGCATGGAAAAATTTAAGGCCCCTCCTATACTTAAGTCAACAGGTTTTTATTAGCTCTAACAGATCTACCTCTGTTCTTTCCTCCAACTGCTAAACTGCAATGCACATGCAATATTTTATGCATTTGAAATTACCAGATATGAAGTACATACAGAGGAAGTATATAAAGAAAGAACTGAAGGATGTGAAAATTAAAAGGAGTATTTTACAAATATTTACAGACATATTAAAAATGCAACAGTATGTAGTTACCTGCAGAAATTACTTACTGTTTGGGAACGAGATCAAACCTCATCCTATTGAGAAGCTCATCTTCTTGTAACATCACCAATGCAACAGGGTACATTTGATCAAAGTCAAAATTAAACTGCACACCTGCTGGAGGATCCCGCAGAAAATTTCGTTTATCCTTTGAAGAAAAAATTTATGGTCATTAACTGGTACCAGAAAAAGGATATCATATTTCACACACAAGACCAGCAAAGCAATTCTACTTCCCACATAATTCTGTCATACCACAAAGCTGTGAAGCATTTATAAAAATAAAAAATTACACTGAGGATCTACTTTGGCTCAAGTTGATACTGAAAGAACTATTTACTCTTGCACATGATCAGTGTAGTGACAGACACATTAAAAGAAGCAGATTGAAAAAACATAATTGAATAATGCCAGCCAAACTTACTTTGAAAAAAAAAAAAGGAAGTTTTAAATTTCAAATCTTTGTGGAAATTAAATACTCACTGCTGATAAGGCCAGTATTTGTTGTTGAATTGTCTCTTCTTCGTTGCTGTCTACCCAGGGAGGCACTGCTGCTTCTGTCATTGAAAGGAGGAAAATAATCACCTGTATTACTTAAACCCCAAAGCCCCACCAAAATACCTTACATAAAGCAATATATAATGTCACAAAAATAAGCAGGCTTGTATCAGTTATCCAATTAATTGTTTCTTTTCCTAAACTAAAATCAATGGATGAGATAGAAACACTAGAAATAGATCTTTGCTTATCAAAGGTTAAAAAAAAAAGTAATTAAATAGTTGCTGACTTTGGTTATCATAAAACTAAAACTGTGGGCATTTCTTTGCACCAGTCAAAACTTGGTGCCTCTTAGTTTAGTTAGGGAAGTAGCGCTGTAAAGCTGGTTAAGCTGCTTGCAAATAGAAGTTTCTAGATTAATTTTAAACATGTAAACTCTGTCTAAATTAAGTTTTCAAAATAATTTACTGTTAATTTTCTAACACCCAGAAGACACTGATTCTTTAACAACGGAGAAAAATAAGTTATAACTTTGCTATAAATTACAAGCTGTTATGCACTGGATAAGCATACTTGAGTTCAGCTCATTGATACATTTACACAGATACCTCCAAAATAGTTGTGTAGGCTGTACACAGAGGAAAATAAGCTATTGCAGATGTATAGAAATCTATTAATCTCTTCACTGTCAGTGCCAATTCAGCCTACAGAGTTAACAAGTAATTCTTATGCACTTAAACTAAGAATGCGTATTTGCCTATACGAGATCTTTCACCCACATGGATCCACATCTGATGCTAATGCTTCTTTCAGTTAGGCCATCTGTTTCTCCTTCTTTTGCCAATCTAGCTACCTATTTTTATGAAACTTGCAGAAATATATTGCCAGATGCCAAAGTTTGCTAACAGAGATAAAAAGACAGAAATACAGACGATGCAATCACATAAGCAGTCTTACACGAAGAAACCAGACATACTAAACATAGTAAGTACAGACAGTATGAAAAGTTTTATCACAATCCATTTAAAACCAGAGAATTTTCAGGATTAACAATTGTCCTGGTTCGGGGTAGAACAGAGCTGGTTCTGTTCAATGATTGTAACTTTTCAGCTAAATCTCTTCTAATTAACTGACTTGTGTGAAGTTAGCAGCATATTTTCACAGATTTTCTGCTTCTAGCAGTGATAGCACTCCAAGTCCAGAGTTACCACCAAGGACTGGTATGCAGACCAAGGCCACTGCTAAATCCTGTACACCACACAGAGGGGGGAAGAAAGTAAAGCCACACCTGCAGGGAGGAGCAGACCAGATAAGTGACCCTAAAATTCATCAGCGAGGTATTTCATCCCATATCCCTCATATTCAGTATAAAAGCTGAAGGATCACAAGGGGCAACCCCTTCCATTGCCCCTTCTGTCTGCTAGCTTGCTTCTGCTGCAAGCATCTGAGGAGGACTCCATCCATCCTGCGTTTGATCCCAAGCTCTGTGTTCCTGAACCGAGCTCCAGAATCCAGCTCCTGTGCCCAGTTGCCCTCTGTGGCTGAGTCCAGCCTGGGACTGTTCCCCGGGGGCTGCTCCCCAGCCAGGGGAAATTTGCCATCAGAGTGTGTGTGTGTCTGGGAGTTTGGTTTGATACTGATTTTGTATATATTTGTACATGATCCATTTTATTATCATTATTACTATTATTATTAGCGGTAGTTTAAAGCTAAAAAAAAAACCAATACAGAACCGTTTTCCTTTTCTGTTCTAATCAATAAGTCTCTCTCCTTTATTCCCTTTCTCTTCCCTTTTTTGAGAGGAGAGGGGTTAACAGATTTGGGGGTGGGGGAAGCAGGTTAACAGAGAGTGTTATCAGTCTGGGGGCTGTCCTGACCCCAAACTGTGACAACAATAGAGCTACTAATTATTCAGACTGTCACAAATTATTGCATTCAGGTAACATGTTAAAAGAGATAAGCCAATAATGAAATGAAACATAAAAAAAGTGCTTATTTTAAAGCCTCAAATAGATCCACTGATGTCAATAGTACATGGGTGGGTAACTCAAAGGATTTAGATCACAGGTAATTATAAAGCAAATGATTTATGGGAAAGCAAAAGAGCAGTTATGCCTTTAATGTAAGCAGAACAAATCCTACAGCAAAACTAATTAAATACTATACTGCAAACCCTAACCCATGTTTTTCATTTCATTACACAAACGTGACATGATTGCTAGAGCTCAAAAGTAATCAACAAGCCTGTTTTCAACAAATATATGGGCTTAAGATTCAAAACAACAATAAGAGATCAGATTTACTAGCACAGTGATATTTGAGTTAATTTCCTAAAGCTCTATTTAATTAAAAAAGCAAATCCAAACCAAGTAGATAATGTTAACACTAATCTCACTTTAAAATATCATCTTCCTATTCCTATTATTTGTAAAGTTCTGACATAATGTGTTTCATTAAACAGAGTTTTGATAGATTAGGTTTAGATATACCTCAATTATCCAGCTTCAAGCAAGTTTTAGCTTGTGCAATGTTATAAATTATGAAAATAAACATATATTACCTGATTTTTTTGTTTGCTGCTCTTGGACAAATTTCTTCTGTTCCTTCTGAAAATCTCCAATAATTGTCTAAAAAATTAGGGAACCACAAAAAAAAAATAATTCACTCCTATTGTTTCATGCTCAAAGTGCTTTCAAATACGTTGCAGGATCATATTATTATTATATCCATGGTGGCCCTTTCTGTAATTAAAGGTGTTTCGTGTAAATCATACTCTCCCCTTTACTGAAACATTTGATTTTGCCTTTAAAAGTTTAAACTATTGTGTATGTTTTCAAAATTATATAGTTTTATCAAGTTCAAGCTGATAATTTGAACATCAGCATACTATGCTTATACACTTACCATATCAAATACAGACAATGTAGACTATTTAGATTTATTTAAACATTCTTTTAAAGCATTAAACACTTAAAAGATACCCTTAGCCTTATGATAAATTTCAAGGGTTGCCTGAGAAATAGATACATTGCAATAAATCAGAACTGTAAAATTAAGTATGATTTTCAGAATGTCTGCTTAGCTGAAATAAAATGATTTCTCCATTTATGTCACTGATAAATTTTAATGAAAAAAAATTATGTTCAGAAATAGCCTATATTGACTTTAGAATTACAAAATGGAGAGTAGTTTCAGAAGTCAGCATGCCATAATCTAGAAGTAACAATGCAAATACTGTTGAATAGTTGAAAGCTGAGGCAAAAAACAAGAAGCTGGAAATGAATACTTCAATCACTCACAAAATACACATTTTATGCAGTGAGGTCTGCAGCTTAACAAGTTGCCAAAAAGCATGCAAGACTTCAAGCTAAATCCTGAGAAATTCCTTTTTTTTTTTTTCCTTCAATAACCCAGCATTTCAGTTTAAGGTTAACACTAGTGAGAGAACTACTGTAGTGCCTGTTACAAATAGATCATTGTGGTTCCTCCTGGTTCTAAATATACCAATATTTGGCGTTTATGGAATAAAATAACATATGGTGTAAGAAAAAGCTTTATGATGATAAATCTATAATACTGTTTTTCCCCTTATGTAAACTTCTTAGTAAAAAATTCATATTTTGACTAATATCAGGGAATTCATATTATTCTAAGACATTCACAAAAAAAAAGGTATTTTAGGTATGAAATATGCTATAGATACTTAGCTATTTTCTTATGAGCATTATTATTTGTGTATTATATTACCAAATAACATACTTACTTGATTTTTCCTTTTTGATGTAGATCAAAATTACATTAGGTTCTAATATACCATAGTAGGAAATATAACTCAATTATATATAGATAGTTGTCACTTAAAATCAATGAGATCTGGAGACAAAATATGATCATAACAGAAATTTACAAGTGTCATTTGAAGATTAATTTGGAAGACACATGAACACCAATTATACCAACCCCTGAGGGGGTGGTGTCTGTGACAGGAACAGGGGTCTGGCTGTGTCTCCCGTGCCCAACACTCCTGCACAGTCCCACTACACCTGGGTTGGTTTTGGGCAGTGCCCTTTTCCCTCCTTCCCCTCTCAAGCTACCCTCTCAAACAAACACACAGCACTACAGACCAATTACTGTTGTCTTTTTTTTTTTTTTTCCACCTCTTTCTCTCTCCTTTTTTTCCCCCTTTCTGACAAGTTTGCAAGTTAAAGCACTGGAAGAACACTCGGTAGCAGAAGTGGAGCAACCGGAGCTGGCAGACAAGTACAGAGAGGGCAAGAGCTAGGTGGCAGGGTTGGGCTGGGGGAAGGAACAGGACAGTGGTAACCTGCTTCATCAGCTGACTGGGTCTTGTGAAACCACACCCCTATAGCTCTGGGGTCACACTATACAATAGCCACAAAGCTGACTAATTCTGAATCTGCTTCAGAGATGCATTAATATGCAAGCTATAGCATTCCTCTTAGCATCTAAATAAACTGGGGGGGTGGAAAATCCAATCCACACATCTCCCAGACATCCCCCCAGCTGCCTGTAATTTCTCCAGACTTTCCTCCTATGTCACCATTTTTAATCTTTTCTTCTGGCCTTTCTCCAGTGTGTCTACATGTTGAGGGAGCAGAACACAGGTGCAGTACTGAGTAAAGCAGGGTGACCATTTTTTTGGCATGTCTTCCCTGAATAAACATTTCAGTCGCATCATTTATTGTGACAGGATATATCTGCTCATGAAATACACAATTCTTAAAGATGGCTTGAAGAAACTTTATCACATGCCAGTTTGCCATGTTATAACAACAGTAAGCAAGCTTTCAGATCAAGTATCTAGAAATAAAATACCTTATCAATGATACTGTCGATTTTTCCTTCTTCTACAGACTTCTTTATTGTCTGTGCTGTTTCTGCAACGGATTCAGATATCTTTTTTGTAGCAGCAGTGGCAAAATTGAAGAGGTAACCTTTCACAAACAAGAAGAGAAAGACATTTAAAAAAAAAAACTCTTTACATCCTCTTCTCTTACTAGATTTATTTTCCTTACTCTTTAGTAATTTGAACACCTACTTGAAAACTTCCTTAAAAATCATTTAACCCAGCTTATGGCCTACAGAGGACTCCTAAAATCCTGTTTGTCATTTTCTAGACCATATTCTTTATTGATGATGATCAAATTATATGTTTGATCACAACTTTCTTTAAATCGGACTTCTACAAGTGAAACTTGTATACTAAGTCAAACATTTCAAATGGTCCTCAAAATACTGCTTTGAAATAAATTTTCTGAATCAATGTGTCTCTTCTAATTTCATTAAAGTATTCTGGAGATATTAAGCAATAAAGTAACTTTAGCAACAGTATTAAAACAAAAGCATATATTTTTAAAGAAAATCGAAATGTACAATTAAGTCTTATGAAATAAGGGAGCAAATGCATGAAAAATTTCAGGCAAATAACACTTGAGATTCCTTCAAAAATCTTAAGATAGAAGCTTGCTCTTGGTGTTTCCTTTTTCTATTTTGCACTGTCTTCCTCTTTTAGCTCCATCAGAAGCACTCTGGTCCTACTTGCTTATTCTTCTGAATCTGTTCAATGTCAGAACAGCAATAACAAATATTTCCAAAGACTAGCATTATTTTTTTTTAGCAGTGCTGAAGTGAAGATAGGTAACACGGAAAGAACTATGTACCATGGGTACTTGCATTGTACTGTTTGTTTTAATTAAGGAGAACAAACTTGCAAACAGCAGTGTCAATATCACAAAACTTCAGAAAGATTAAATATCAGTTTATTGATAAAAGACCTCAAAACAACATTGGCATTGTTTATTTTTCAGATGATATGTCATCATAAGCCCTTTATTACATTTTAACAGCTTTATTGTGACTATGACAGTTACAGTATATACACTGATAAAATGTTGGGAAGTGCCAAAGGTAATCATATCATCATTGCTGAGTTATCTAGATCGGAGTATGGAGCAACCATCAGTGGCATGAAATGCAACAAGAACAAGTGCTGGATGCGGCACCTGGGGCCGAGTGACACTGGGCCAAGTGTAACTGGGGAGAGGAGCGGCTGGAGAGCAGCCCTGCAGAGAGGGACCTGGGTGCTGGCTGACAGCAGGGACAACAGGAGTCAGCCCCGTGCCTTGGCAGCCGTGAGGGGGGGTGTGAAGGTTCTGAAATTCTTCAGAGCAGGGCAACACAGCTGGCAAAAGGGCTGGAAAGAACCTCTTGTGAGGAGCGGCTGAGGACTTGGGGCTTGTTTAGTTTGGAGAAAAGGAGGCTGAGAGAGCAATGACCTCATGGCTCTCTAAAGCTTCCTGAGGAGGGCAAGGGGAGTGCGAGGTGCTGGTCTCTTCTCCCTGGGATCCTGTGACAAGACACCTGGGAGTAGTTCAAAGCTGCACCTGGGAAGATTTAGACTGGGCATTAGGAAACATTTCTTTACCGAGAGGATGGTTAAACACTGGAACAGGCTTCTCAGAGAGGTGATCCATGCCCCAAGCCTGTCAGGGGTTAAAACGCATTTGGGTAATGCCCTTAATAACGTGCTTTAAGTTTTGGTCACCAATGAATCGGTCAGGCAGTTGAACTAAATTATCATTGTAGGTCCCTCCTAACTGAAATAATCTATTCTAATTCTAGGATTAGAAGTTGTAATGGTGGATCTAAACTGCACAGTAGCTATTGAAGATATAGTTAAGGCATTAGTAAGAATGTAAATCGTGGGATTGTAAGAATATTTTAGTTATTCCAGAAAATCAACTCTGATTTTTATACGGGGGGTTTTAAAAAAACCCAGTGCTTCAGTTTCAAACAAACACCTTCCCCTTCAAGACCTCACTCCATTTTCCTTATGGGCTAGAAATGCAAAAAATAACCTTACTATGCAAAAAAATTTAAGTTATTTTAACACACAGTTGCTAGCCTCTGTTAGAATGAGTTACTTGAGAATATTCGTGTCACCTTTTGGAAAGCTGACTGGTTCTTTGTGATATATAAAATACTCTCTCTTCATGACATCACCAAATCAATCCCAAAATATGCAGAGGTCTTGCCAGCCCTTAGTAAAGGAAGCAGCACCTTACTAAAGCTTCTTCCCCATCAGCTTTTATTGGTTGTTTTATGTATCCCTGGAAAGTTTCTTATATGCAATTGTTTTAGGTGCAGAAAGAGCTGAAGCATTTGTTGTCCAGTGGTGTTTTGGTAATGTTGGCAGAGTGGTTTTGGCCAGTCCTGGAACCAGTCTGAAGAGTAAAATGCTTTTAACTTCCATTAAGGGCAAACATTTTTCTGAACTAAGGTACTTAAAAAAAAAAATCTCAGTAAGAGGTAGTACTTAGCCTTAGAAAAATAAAATTATTGGTGTAAAACAACGCTTCCACTTTCAAATGGCCAAGAAGCTTCCCCTCCCTCTTACAAATTTATGCCTGTATTACAAATACGCATCTGGAAATATTTCTGTTATTAGTTCTCCTTCACAAAGCCTCCTAAATTTTGTAATGATGTGTTAATGAGTAAAAATTAATGTATTTAAGGCTTCAGTTCTATAACTAAATTCTTTATGGGCTAGGGCAGTCTTTTGACACAGCTACACTGGTTATTAGTAATGCAGATGTTTCCAGAGTTGTCATGTGATTAAGCATGACATTCAAATCCTTATAAAAAAGCCTTTCCACATCAGTAATCTCTGGTGTCACAGACAATAAACCCACGGATCACTAAACAAAGTCTCACTTCCACAGCAAATTATGGCATAGACTTTTATATCTGTAACGGTCAATACGTATTCTTCCCCCAGAATTCAGTGTCTTTTTTATTTCCTGATCAAGAGTGACTAACAGATTAGGATCAATTTACAACAACCAGACAAGTATTTGACCAAACTACACAGATAAACTGTTGCAGCTTAGACAGCCCAAGGCAAAGCACAGTAAAGAACCATCTCAGACCAACCTTTCAGATGATATTGATCCAGCATTTCAGAGCACCAGTAAAAACACCCCGAACACTAGCAATGAGTAAGGAGATGTACTTTGGATTAATTTTACCTAAGAACCTACTATAATAAAGCAGAAATTTTACCTACAGCCATTTACAGCCTTAGCGCACTAGAAATTAATTCAGTAAAATTATCAAATCCCATCACTTTCCTATGAAAAAAATCAGAGACCCCACACCAATACATTAAGCACCTTACTCTATATGTACACATCACTTCCCTCATAGTGACAACACAACAGATACTTAAAGAAACGTTGCTCATTTAGTAACAACTCTGAAAAAGATGATAACTGAAAGGAACATTTGCAGCCATGTGCTTGGTTCATAATTTAAGTATCCAAGTTGTTTTTTTTAAATGTTCTTTTGACTTCCAGTGAGGCGACATCTTTTCACCACAAAAATTATTAGCAGTTCAATCAAATATTTCTCACTGCCAGTAACTGCTACTTAAAACGAATCTCTGGAATGCAGAAAAATGAACATGAGATTAGAGAATCAGCTCACTTCCAAACTTCCACCTTTATCCATCGTTTAACTGTGGAAGAGACTGGGGAAGCTGTATGGAAAAACTCCATCTTGTGAGCTAGAGTAGTAATGCATGCCAAAGATAGCACTTAACAGGCATGATTTAAAAGAGATGCAAAACATAGGTATATGTAGGTAAAACAGAAAACGGTAGGAAACAATAACTAAAAACTTTTCACCAAGACCATTTTCCATACTAGCTAACCTAACCTAAATTACCATTTATAACTGAAAAGATATGCTTCAGGTTTGTTTGTTTGGTTTTTTTTTAAGTCTTCAGGTCACCTCATAAATTTGTGTTCATTTTACATCACTGTGCAAGGGACGTTGGAGTTGTTGCTATCTAAATGAAAAGCTATTTTTCTTTTACGTTTGTTTAATTGACAAGAAGCACACCTACCTCATCTTAAAACTTATCCATATAATTTAGCTCAACTAAAGCTTTGGTTTAAGTGCAAATGTACTACTAACTCCGCCTCTAACCACGCATGAATCTGGTCTACCTTCCCTCCTGTTGCTGCTCTACGCTACTCTGACCATGCTAAGGCAGTTCTGCTGCTAAGCCTACGTTTTTTTCTCTTCTGAAACAAGTCCCACAGGAGCGCTCCCCAGAAGCTCCCGCTCCCAGGGGCCGAGGAGCAGCCCCACACCTCTCCGCTGCGGCCCAGGGCAGCCCGGGGAGCAGAGAAGAGGCGGCGAGATCGCCCCGGCTGTG